CTATTATTTTCACGTCATCCAAGGTGTATGACTGATATTGCTTGGCCTCTATGGGCAGTATAAAAATTAAATTAAATCATTATGAAGTTGAGCTTGTGGTAATAATTGGATTGCTGGAAAATTTTTATATAGAAAAAATATTGAAGTAAGACTTGTAGCTGTATATATATTAATGTACTTGGCTACGCATGTAATTACAGTTTAGGATTGATGTGGAGGTATTGTAGCTTGAAGGAATATATGCATTTCCTGTTTGAAAGCTGGTTGTTTTAAAAACTCATGAAAATTCGTTTGACTTTTGTCATGTTTCCCATAATCAACTCTAAGTAGTAGAATGCTCAATGTTGTTATCGTAAACATTAAACAATGCAATGCTCCTGATTGATGAATGTGTTTGATCACCCCTTCTCCAATTGTTATGTGCAATTAAAAATCTCATTGTTTGTTGCAATCATAAACAATGCAATGCTCCAGATTGATGAATGTGTTTGATCACCCCTTCTCAATTGTTATGTCAATTACAAATCCCATTGTTTGATGCAATTGAGCACTGTTGAAAGCGTCTTCGACATATGGATTTCTGAAATTAATAACGAATTGTTTTATCTAGTTTCTATCTATTTATATGGTTTAGACGTTGAGGAGGTCACTGATGTAAACGAGATGATGAATTAACGACCTTGTATCGAGTAAGAGAAAACAATGAGTTATCACCATTGTACATGCAATAAAGCTCATCTCGGCTACTGATAATCTGGTAGCTCAAATATTATTATATCTAAAATTCTTATAGCACGTAGTTTTGCTCGTATTAGCGATTTAATTTCGTGTTAGCCCGATTTAGCTTATAACTTCTTAACTGCAATGTGTGTTGTTCTAATTGTAGGAATCCTGCCACTTTTCTTCATGCTTACTCATGTCTTCCCCTGGCTTATGCGACACGCCAAGCTGCAGGTTCCATCTTGCAAGATGTCGCTGGTTCAGGAGTCCTGTTTTCCCTCTTAATGTGTAAACACAAGGTAAATTATTTCGTACAGTTGTGTAACTGGTAACTAGGATGATGCTTGAACTATTGGGTAGAGAGTTTGCATTGTAATCAGCAGAGTAGTTGATGTAGATATATCTTGTATTGCTCCATGTATCTCAGGCAGACGAATGTCACTAGATATATAATATTTTCTTTATGTTATTTTTAATTTTTGTGAGACACTACACGATTGGATATTTTTTTTTTTCCAAAGAAAATTGTCTCATCCGAAAAAGTGCGATGAAAAGATAAGTTGTTTTTAGAGACAGCCCAATATCACTATATATATAATATCTTCTTTATGTTATTTTTATTTTTTGTGAGACACTACACGATTGTATATGAGTTTTTTTTTTCAAAAAATTTTCACATTTGAAAAAGTGAGATGAAAAGATAAGCTGTTTTTAGGAGAAGGGAAATACATTTGAGATTGTGAATTGATATGAGATAAAAATTGTAGAGTTGATATGATATAAATAATAAAATACTGATTTGATAAAATGGGTAGTTAGAATTATGTAAGTGGATGAATAGTTTGACATGATGGAAAATAAATAATATTGATTACTTTTCATTTTTTAATTGGGTTAGTTGAAAAATAATTTCCATATACAATGGAGCTTAATCGGATATAGAAATTTCTCGAGAAGTTATCTCGTTCAAAAATAGAGATGAAAAAGTGAAAAAAATGCTTTTAGAAAATGTTAAATAGGTTTGAGATTGTGAATACCTGAATGGATTAAATGTAATAATTAGAGCTAATGTATGTAAAACCAATAACATATTGATTGATTAGTTAGAAATATGTGAACTAGTGGATAGTGTTTAGATGGAAAATATATAATGATGATTAGTTTTAGTTTTTTTAGTTGTGGTAGTGGGATTGTAGAAAAAAAAAAAGAGAAAATGAAATAGTATTTCTTATGATTTTTTTTGTTCCGATTTCCATTTCAATGAAATAAATCTTGATAAACCAGACAACGGAAAATATTTCATTTTAGCAACTTGCTGGTCCGTGTACAAAATGACAATACTCCTTGTTTTATAATATGGTCAGTAATAGTGTCAATTTAATTGAAATCACTGGATATAACTACCTTCCCTTAGCTATAGCTTTCTGATGGATATTTAATGCCTTAAATTGAAATGCAAGCAGGTCATCAGTCTGGTTGGCGCTCAGAAAGCATCTCTGCATCCGGATGATATACTGTTGCTCTCCAATTTTATTATGTCTTCTGAGTCCTTTAAGTAAGTTCACTTAGATTCCCCTTAACTTACAATGATCTTTGATCTATGAACAAGGTACATAAATGGTTAGTCTATTTTGCTCGAGTCGTGACCCATTTGTTGAATGTGCATGGAAATGTGCTGTGTTGTTTGTAAGACATTGTTGTGAGTTTGCGGGCTAGGGTGGGGGGTGGATTTAAAGAATCAGAACTATTCTCAAAATGAGTTTTTTTGGTTATCCATGGTTAATTCTAATAAAGGTGGTATGGTTAGTTGTTTTGAGTTTATATGAAAACAATATCTAAAATAAAATAATTAAAGTTGATTTGATGTAAAAATAAGAGAGAGATGATGTGAAGTGATGACTAGTTAAAATTATGCGAGTGGATGAATAGTGAATTGAAGTTTGTGTGGTGTGTAAGAATGATTGGATAATATTATTTAATTATATTGATAATATTGAGGATAGTTGGGTTGTTTTAAAGTTGGGTTAGATTTTGAGTATGAATTGGATATGCATTGAGTTATTTGATATACAAACACTCTCTTAGATCTCACTACACCCAAAAACATCATGAGGTTTGAATATCAAATCTGGAGTATTAGTAGGTCTCTCCCTCTCAACCTCATTCTCTATTATAATGTGTGAAATAATCTGCACTAAACCTTTGTCGGGTTTTTCCGTATATATTTCTATTTGTTCTATTGAATTTCTTTATCTTCCGTGCCTGCATTTGGTGAATAGTAATAATTTTACTATTGGAGAGAAGGATTCAATAGAACAAATAGAAATAATTTTACTATTCGCTCCAAAATGGTTGTTAGCATTTGCCTGGTTGTTAAGTATCCTGTTTCCATCTAGACAGTCACCTCAACTCTGTATCTCATCTCTTGTTGACATTATACAGATCGAATAATATAAAATTGTACGAGGTGCTAGTTATTATGCTTCGTATGTGTTCTATGTCAAGCAGGACAGTGGCTCTCTTCCCATCCATTATGAGTAATACAATTTTCACAAGAAAAATAAACAAATTGTATAAAGTTTTTATTTAGTTTTGCTTGCTCCTAAGCATGTGTGGCACTTCCTTGATGAGGAAATCATTACAAATAACAATAGAGTAGACACCCTTTTGCTGTTACTTTATTGAAGTATATTACTTCCTATTTTCAAATATACAGTTTGTAATTTCTCTATTTCCTGCAGAACATCTGAATCCTTCTCTCCAATTTGCCTGCCAAGATACAATCCCATGGCTTTCCTTTATGCTTATGTGCACTATTTTGATGTAAGTCATCTTAAATTTGGAGCGCAAATATCTGAAGAAACAATCTAGCATTTCTGAAAGGAAATATCTTATCCAGTGGGGCAATAATGTAGATTGTGGATTTGCAAGAAGTCCTAGATTTCAGTTATTTGGTTCGGCGTATGTGTGTTTATACGAATTTCTAAAATAGTGACAAACTGCTGAATCTTATCACAGATTGATACATACCTGGTATTGCTTACAACAAGTCCAGATGCCTTCTATCATTTAAAAGAGAGCAGGTAATTTTAAATATTAGTAACTACAAGATCACAAATTGTTATGTTCAGATGGCCCCTCAATATATTGTTTCTACAAAATATCCTGGCATCGGCTTTATGGTAACTGTTCGATAGAGTGAAGGGCAGAAAGATCAAATAGGCTAACATACAGACTACCCCGAAGGGTCCTCAGGCCAATTTGTCGAATGCTTTGTCCTCTTTATCTGAACAGGATACTTTTGTTGCATCTAATAGGATTCGGATTGAAAATGTACTCGTGAAGTCAAATGTGTTAATCGAAGTTCAAAGATCCTTGGTAGACGGTGGTATGCACATTGAGGATCTACTTGTGGACCCCACTGCTCGTCCAGGCACCATATCTTCTCATCTCGGTCAACCGAGACTAGCAACAGATTCCCCAAGCAGAGGTGCAACAGATGGATTTGTTGGAATTGGTGGTCCGGCGGGACTCTGTCACTTTATGTATAGAAGTATATATCTTGACCAATATGTGTCGTCTGAATTTTCATTGCCAATCAACAGCTTGAGACAGCAAAAGCGGTAACTTGGAAAAATTAGGGGATCATGCTATTATCCATCATAAAGAATTTCTGCAGACTTTATTGTGCAGTAATCAAGGGCTTTATGTTTTGCAGATTATATAGGGCCTATCAGAAACTTTACACATCCATGCATGATAAAGGAATAGGACCTCACAAAACCCAGTTTAGAAGGGACGAAAATTATGGTAATCCTTTTCTCTCTATTTGATGCTTTCGAACTTTCAGGACTATTCAAACTTGAAAACTGAGTCGCATGTCGATGCATCCTGTTAATTTGCCCATAATTAAAAGCATTTTTTAATGTTGGAGCATATCTCCCAGATGTAATGGATTTCTTAATATGTGGATTTTTTTTTTTTTTTTTCATTAATCATAGCTAGCACCTTTTGCTGCTATACAATTTCATGACATTTATGCTGAATCCTTTCTAATATCCATTTCGCCATGTAATGTTTTTTTTTTGGGTTGTTTGTACATTTTATTTGTGGTAAACAAGTTTTCGTAGACATTTATTTACATTTATTTTCTGCTGGTGATATTCGTAACTAGTCCTTTGATGTCCAGTGCTACTTTGCTGGGTCACACAAGATTTTGAACTGTATGCTGCTTTTGATATCCTTGCAGACAAGGTTCGATCTTGGCAAATATCTACCTTCTTCACCATTGCACATAACAGACTTGCACAAACATGAGTTTCGAAATTAAAATCATGAATCTTGGCTACTGTTTGCAGGCTCTTGCTATTAACGTATGCAATCGGGTTTGCCAATGGGTGAAAGATGTTGAGAATGAAATATTCCTGCTGGGAGCAAGTCCTTTTTCATGGTGATTTCTCCTAATATTCTTGTACGAGTGCATGCATTCAAGTACTTTTCTGTTCTTAATTATAATTTTGCCTAATTTTCTTTGCATTAACCATGTGCGATCGGTTGTATTGTTCTTAGTAAAGATTCACATCACAGGCAGGCGCACGTAAGATTTTCATACCTGTTATGAGCATTTGTATACATCATTTGTGTTTTTGCACTGAATGCCCAATCCAAGAGTCTATTTGTGAGTAACCCGATTGTTCTAATCCATCCTTTAAAGAATATATGATCGTTAATATTGTTGAATTGAATAAAACCAACTCATATATTTTTAGCTTTTGTTGTACTCCTTGGGCTGGCCCATGAGGGGTATGATTCACACAAATGAACCTGGCCCAAACCTATCTAGTCCCACAACTCAAGCTGACGATGTGAATATAAGGGCCCAAAGGTGACAGATTGGTATTGTGTCGATCCTTCGTCAAAGTGTGTCGATCCACCTGTTAATATTGTGTATTTGTGTTGATCTCTTTGGAAAAGAGACTGCCCATGCCCAAATAGGTCCGAGCATCAAAAGCTTAAATTAGGGTTATTCACCAAAAATCGGATTTTTGCATGGTGACACATGTCAATCACTAAGCCCCTGAAGGTGGCATGCGATCATCATTATTTTCTGCTTTATTCATATAAAAATGAGGCGCTTAATACCTTTAGAAAATGGGAATGGAAACATTCTCATACGTAACTACTCCCGAAAAATACATGCACTAACAATTTCTTCTTATTTGTTTCTTTATGTTGATCTCACACATCATTGTCTCTCTCGTTTCCTATATAAAAAGCATATTTCATCTAATATTATCATATAATAAATACCTACTTTCATTGGTAATTAGGTGTTGTCAACAAATTGACATGAGAGGAGAGCCCCACTAAGAATTTTTTGTGAATCTTCCCATCCTCAACTTTACGCCTTCATAATAGTCATGTCAGCTTCAGACCGTGCTAGTAGTCAACACGAGGGTAATTCTCACCCTCATATCGACGTTATACAATTTTTCAAAATCCCACTTTTGTTAAAGGCCATAACGAACTCTTTCTTTTTTTGTTCTAAATGTTCGGTAACAATCCCCTTTTAACAATCCACAACACAATCCTAATCAAGAAAAACTCCTTCAAACCCCTGTTTCACTGTCCCAGGACAACCACTCTCACGAGCATCATGAGTCTTGTGACATGGGTAAAGACAAACATAAGCTTGATCGTAAAAGGATCGCGAATGTATGGGCGAGAGCCAAGCTCACTTGGGGGCCAACATGAGCTCCAACGCCAGATCGATATTTAATTGTTTAGGTAACAGACAAAATGATCTCCGACAACAAATCACTAAAAGGATCCTTCTGAAGGAAGGTGAGAAGATCGCTTCCTTGAAACAACAGATACCCGAACTTGAAGCCCAACAAACTCTAGAAATGACCAATAGGCCGACCTCACATCCTCACTCATCTACAAAAAGTGTCTCAACTGATTCCACTTCGTATTTATCGCCTCATATCCTGATCGGAGTACTCCCTGTCAAAATCAGAGTCCCCAAATCGGTTTATACTATGGCGATACAAATCTCGATTCTCATTTGGGGCAGTATACGTCGTGGATGGATCTTTACGAGGCGAGCGATACTCTTTGATGTCAGACTTTTTCCTCGACTTTGTGGCCCAAGCCCTAACGATAATACCATTCATCTGGGAGCAGTTGAGATCGGCTTTCTGCATGCGCTTTGTGGGATCGCAAATATGTATGATCTCAAAAGAATGTATTACAAACATCGTCCAATAGGATGACGGGAGTCTGAGTGATTATGTTGTCGTTTCAATGCTCAGATCTAAAACATAGAGCCATGTCATCCCGAAATTCTTTCGGTCTCAGCATATACATGTTTCCGTCCCGACTTGGCTCTCGCCCATACATTCGCCCATACATGTCGTTGGAGCACACACTACGGTGATCAGATTGTTGCTTTCAATTGCATCCTAACAATCCCATCAAAGGAGATCTATACCCTCAAGAGTGGGAAAGGTTTAGCTTCGACACCTACTATTCCTCCTTCAGAAAACGAGTTATATTTAACTCGTGATCGAGGTCATCGCCTAAGGAAAGAACCAATGCAACTGATTGATGAACTGAACCCACGTATGCATTTTAAAGAGCTCACCGCCAATCGTACTCTGCCTGTTGAAGACGTCGGTCAGATTTGCATGGATGAAACTTCCTTTACTAAGTACCTGCAGATCGACAAAAACTTGGTCAAACCTCATCGATCCCAAATGATTGACTTTCTAAAAAATAACATCGACATCTTTGCATGGTCTCACGAAGATGTGAAAGAAATTGATCCAGATGTAGTTTCCCACTGGCGTAATTTAGAAAAGAAAAAATTTAGGCCCGATCGTCAACAAGCACTGGGGCACAAAGTGTCTAAATTGATCAACAACAAATTCATCCGCGAGGCCCACTATCCAGAATAGTTCTCAAACACTGTGCTTGTAAAAAAAGCAAGTGGGCAATGGAAATTATGCATTGACTTCATCGATATCAACTGTGTCTGCCTCAAAAATAGCTACCCCATTTCTCATAGTTACATGACCGATGCTACGTCCGGTCATGAACTCATGAGTTTCATAGACACTTACTCTAGGTACAAACAGATACCCATGCATCTAGACGATCAAGAGCATACAACCTTTTATTCTACTTGTGGCTATTATTATAAAATGATGACGTTCAGGTTAAAGAATGTAGGAGCTACCTATCAAAGACTTGTGAATAAGATATTTGCCGAATTGATAGGTGATAGTATGAAAGTCTATGTCGATGACATGTTCGTCAAATCTTTGTATTCCCAAGATCATGTGGCCCATTTGAATGAAATATTTATGATTTTGCGAGTGTAATTAATGATGTTTAACCCCAAAAATGTACACTCGGGGGTAGAATTAGGTATGTTTTTGCGCTCTTGTAAGCCAAAAAGGGATCGAACTGAACCCCGCTAACATAAAAGTGATCCAAGATTTTGATCCCCTAACTTCGGTAAAAGAAGTCCAAAGGCTCACCGACTGTCTTGATGACTTGAATGGATTCGTTTCTAGATCAGCGAACCGATGTCGACCATTCTTCAAAGCAATCAAGAAAAAAATTAAGATTTGAATTGAACCAAGAATGTCAAAATTAACTCAAAGAATCAAGGATCTTTTACAATCTGTATCTGATCTATAGAAGCCTGAACACGAGAAACTATCTATATTTACTTAGGTATATCAAATACGACGATATGCTCTGTGTTGGTTTGAGATAATCAAGGAGTTCAACATCCAATTTATTTCACGAGCCATGCCTGCATGAAGCCGAACTAAGGTATACATTAATGGAAAAATTTGTCTGTACCTTGGTCATCTCGTCAATAAAACTCAGCCCTTACTTTCTTGACCACCCTATATTTGTTTTGACGACTTATCCTATAAGACAAGTTAGGCATCGACCTGATACTTCGAGGCTTATGGTAAAGTTGACAGTTGAATCATATGACAATTCAACATCAATTTTCATCCCCGCACTTTCATAAAAGAACAAGCCCTCACAAACTTTATCACAGAACTCACTTTTATTATCTCTTGCACAATCAATGATGAAACATGGGCCCTGGACGTGGATGGCCCATCCACCTTAACTCCCGCCAGGACCAAAATTGTCCTCATTAGCCCCGATAAGAAACTATTTTACTCGACGATCCAGATATAGTTTCCCTCAACTAATTATGAAGTTGAATATGAAGCCCTTATATCTAGACTGGATATGGCACGATACCTGGGTGTACAACCATTGGAAATTTTCAGTGACTCTTTGTTGATTGTCAATCACCTTAACAATGAATTTAAAATCAAAATCTATGACTTAGTCCTTATTTTTGTTACACTTCATAGTCAAGCTATGATATATTGCTCAGAGTGAAAATATTAAGATAGATGCATTAGCCCATCTTTCCTCAAGTACCTGGGCCGATCAAGTGGAATATGTGATCGTCAGACATCCCTCTGATCTGCCCCTCGAACATATGTTCATGAAGGGATCGTGCAATTACAAATGAGACTAGTTGGATGGCCCCATACAAAAATATCCCGAGAAAGATGGTTTACTGGAAAACTGGGCTGAACCACGAGCCATAAAAACCCAGGCTGTTCGATTTGTGATCGTCAATGGTGATATAGGAATATCTCGGCTAAACCAAAATAAAGCTAAGCATAAATAGGTCGGTCGGTTCAAGAGAAGAGTCGGGTTGACCTACAAATATTGAACATGTGAACGAATAGCTGCAACAGGTCACGTGGTCCAAAATAACCAGATTGACATGTCTGTAAAAAATCCAATTAACCAATGAATTTTTAGTGGAGTAATGAGGAAGATAACACCTAAAACAGGTCATACGATAAACTATTAAAGCAACCTAAACCACTGAGGTTTAGCAACATCCAACAATCTTATTAGTGATTAGAATTTAGTTTCTCTTTTTATGCTTGAGTAATCGTGAGAAATAATCCAACTAGGCTTCTTTGTGATACGATTCAGGGATTAAATCTTTCGCTTTAACTCTGGTTAAAACTACTACAATGATGTGTAACTCTTTACTGATGGATCTGAATCTCCCGTTATCAAATTGCCTCCCATTGTCTGTGACGATCGAGTGAGAAATTTTAAATTGACATATTATTGATTTCTAGACAAAGTCAATCATTATTTGGTCGATGATAGTAGCTAAGGGCTTGCTTCAGCCGACTTTGTAAAATAATCAATCGCCATGACCGCATATTTAACTCTCCATTTGGCGATTGGTAGGGGACCTATAAGGTCAATCACCCACTTTGCAAATGGCTATGGGCTAAATACTGAAGTGAGAGAGTGATTGGGTTGTCATTGTTGAGGAGCAAAAAATTGACAACGCTCGCACCTTCGAACTATCTCAGGGGCA